TGGGGGTACTTGTTTGTTATTTTTTGTTTATTTCTAATGGTCTTTGCGTTGTATTTTTCCTTTTGCTTTTCTTGGGTAACATTTGCTCGCATTCGATATAGATTTATTCAGTCACTTTGTAACTATTATAGTTACTCTGTAATTATTTGATTTATAAGTAGTTATCTTTGGTACAATATAAAGCAGTATGTTTTGTCCTTTACAGATTTAATGAGAAAGACAGATCACAGGTACATGTAACCTCTGTTGAATTTTATCCCAATTTATCCATTATTTTAAAAGATTAAGCGTTTCACATGTCAAAATTCGTTCATTATCAAAGACCAAATGTTGTCTTCTTGTTCTCAATCTTTAGTAGAGGTGTGTTGTGAACTTTTTCCGTTGTCAATGGTTTTCTGCAAAGACGTTGTCAGTGTCTCTCGAGTTTTCAATGTGTCCTTGGTATCTTCCGCCTCTTTTCGTTACTTTTATCTATGCCCCTACTACAGCGGACAGTCCGTAACATCCGTAGGTCCCTAGGACGTCCCGATTTTGAGTTTACCTCAACTACATATCATGATACTTTTACACAATGCTTATTATCTCAAAACACAGATCAAGTATGAATTTGGATGGCGTCACTTTTACGGTTCGTGAGTTATGTCCCTTTATTCCTTGATAATTCACTTGGAAACTCAACATATACCCTCACAACACTTACCAAGGAGGAAATCCTGGATAATCATAGGTCTGTTCTATGTTCCTTTGGAATTTCAACCAAAGATGAAGAACTGGATCTTCCATCACTGTATTGGATACCTAAACTACATAAGTGTCCTTACAAACAACGGTATATTGCTGGGTCTTCAAAGTGCTCCACGAAACCTCTTTCTAAATTATTAACATCTATTTTATCAGCAATCAAAGCCGGGCTCCAAAGTTGTTGTGAAACTGCATATTCTAGAGGTGGCGTGAATCAGATGTGGATACTAAAAAATTCCAAAGATCTTTTAGAGTACATACAATCTAAGACTCTCTCATCTTGCAATAGTATTAAAACATTTGACTTTTCCACACTTTACACAAGTATTCCCCATTCCAAACTAAAAGACAAATTGAAAGAGTTGGTATTACTTTGTTTCATTAAAAAGAATGGCGAACGTAGATACAAGTATCTTGTCTTGGGGAGGGATAAATCCTACTTTGTAAAGAATCACTCTGATTCAAACAAAAAATTCTCTGAAACTGACATTATCAAGATGCTTGATTTCTTGGTTGACAACATATTTGTTACGTTTGGAGGACGTGTTTTTCAACAGACTGTCGGAATTCCAATGGGAACAAATTGTGCCCCTCTTCTTGCCGACTTGTTTCTTTATTATTATGAGGCTGACTTCATACAGGAACTTCTTAGGAAGAAAGATAAGAAGTTACCAATATCCTTTAACTCTACGTTCCACTATATAGATGATGTTCTCTCACTAAATAATACAAAATTTGGTGACTAAGTTGAACGAATCTATCCCATCAAACTAGAGATAAAGGATACTACAGATACAGTTAAGTCTGCCTCATATCTTGACTTACATCTAGAAATTGACAATGAGGATCGGTTGAAAACAAAACTTTACGACAAAAGAGATGATTTCAGCTTCCCAATTGTGAACTTTCCATTTCTATGTAGCAACATTCAAGCAGCGCCTGCATACGGAGTATATATCTCCCAATTGAAACGATATTCCCGGGCTTGTGTTTCCTATCATGATTTCCTTGATAGAGGATTGCTGCTCACAAGGAAGCTATTAAACCAAGAGTTCCAATTGGTGAAGTTGAAATCATCCCTTCGTAAATTTTACGGACGCCATCACGAGTTGGTTGACCGTTATGGAATAACCGTTTCACAGATGGTATCGGATATGTTCCTTATGTCGTAACTACAATACCCTTCCCTTTTCACGAATGTGACTTACCGAATTAGACTATTTACCGGATTTGTAATAACATAAGCAACACGACGGGTGCCACATGTGGAGCAGGATCTGCTTACCCTTCTGGAGCACCTGAGATCACCCCCAGTTTTTGGTGGGGTTCGTGTTGCTTAGTCTTTAGTTTTCTATGTTGTGTCATCTGTACTATTATTTATTTGTTTGTCTTTTTATTTTTGGCCATGGCGTTGTCAGTTTGTTTTCGATCTATGAGTTTGACTGTCCCTCTGGTATCTTTCGTCCCTCTTTTATATGCACGCAGGAGCATCATCTGAGTTCCATTGACACATTCTCTATTTATTTTTATTTTATTTTATAGTTATTACATTGTTGTCTTATATAGTTATAATCTTTAATCATTTTGATATTGCAGTTGTTACGGCGATGGCATTTCTAGCTCCATTAAGAGGTACTACGACAACAACGTTGTTGACGACGACTTCAACGACAACAAGTAAAGCTTCTGCTGTTACTACAACAACTACTACCATGACTAGTGCCAGTACCAGTACACCATCTAGGGGAAATGGACGTCACACTAAACATCCGAAACATGCAAATGAACCATAATTAAATTTTTTTTTATATTCTGGTTTCCTTGTAATTGCGCCACAATACAGCCTTTTTGTGTTGGCGTAAAACAAACACCAATCAATCATTCAATCAATCTATCTATCAATCAATCAATAAACATCAATAAATCAATCAATCAATCAATAAACCATTCAAACAATCTTCTAATTGAAATATATATAAGGGACAGGGTTGAATTTTCACGCAAGTATTTATCCCCGCCACATACCTTTAAGCCTTAAGATCGTCTAGACTATGACCTGTTTTTGACGATCTTTCGGGAACCCTTAATTTGGGTTCAAACTAGGATCCATGACAATCGTTAAGGTTTTCCCTTTTTCAGAAGTAGCCTATCATCTGCACCTCTTTTGTCGTTTATATCTCTCAGTCGATACGTTATTTGCATTAGTTGACTCTAATCTAAATAGCTTGGATTAATCCAATATGTACTGGATAGCTTTGCTATACATGTGTCACTGTCTGTCTGTAACTTAAAGTTCAAACGGTTGGAGACTATTTATGATTTCTTATGGTAAATTGACTTTTAATGACTATTTTATAGAATGTTATTAAAGCAAAACTGACAATTGATGTTATAATTTCTGATATAAAGTTAGATGTAAAGGTTGGTGAACATAATGAACATATGTATACATGTACGGTTCTAGTTAACATATGTATACATGTACGGTTCTAGTGAACATAATTTTTTTATGTATACATGTACGGTTCTAGTTAACATATGTATACATGTACGGTTCTAGTTAACTACAATACAGGATTGAAAATTTAACGCACAGGAAGGCTATACTTAAGTATGTAGTCGGGTCAGGTTTAGGAATTTTTGTCAGATGTTTGGACTCATTGGGTTTTTTTCCTACGATACAGGGTAAAATATTTTGCCCCACATCACCCACTTTTCTTTTCATAGAAGACTTCAATAGCTCACAAAAAGACAACAAAGATAGGCGTGTTATACACCATTGTGTAGATAAAATCAATTTAAATTTACCGCATAACAAGTTTTAGTGGGGTAGACAACCGAGAAATCGTAATATAACGGAAGTTTGCGACCGGGTGACATTTTTCAAAAATGCGAGTTAAGTACCTCGTGTTATATTAAGGTATGAAGAATTTTTTTTCAGAGCTAAGTGACGGTGGATCTATCACGTCCTTCTTTTGCCCGAATGACATCTACCGAATGAGACTTATCACCGATTTTATACTTAAATTATCAACACGACGGGTCCTACATGTAAAGCAAGATTTGCGTACCCTTGCGGAGCACCTGAGATCAAACTCGTCTTTTAGTGGGGTTCGTGTTGCTCAGTCATTAGTTTTCTATTTTGTGTTTTGTATGCTGTTGTTTTTCTTTTCTTTATTTTTCGTGTCATTGTCAATTTATTTTCGACTTATGCGTTTGAAAATTCCTTTGGTATCTTTTCGCCTCTTTTTTACAATTGGATAACTTTTGAATATATGCAGTTTGGTTGTGCCTAACTTATTTCAAACGGGATAGCACATCCTCATTTTTACGGAGATGTTATTTACCGAGCCAGGAAATTTAGAAACGATACGGGTAAACTTATCGATCCTTTAAATAAACTTATTCTAAAAGGTTACCAATTCAACACTGTAATTAGATCTTTGAATATTGTTTTTTTTTTGGTATTAATATTGATTTTGTTATCAGTAAATTGAAACCAAGTTAAATATTATTGTTATATCCATATGCACATTCATGGCTCTACAATCTGTCGATACCTGTATCTTGGCATTGCACAAGGTCATGTTTTTTCTCTGACTGTTTATGACGTCTTTACACTAAATCCATTGGATGTTGGATGTGTACTGATTGATAAGTAAGTCTTAGATGCATATTTTTCATTAATTGTGATTGGCTCTGAACTAGGTGTCAGTAACTGCGAGTACTCTCAGATCTGTACTTAGTGTCTTTTTGTTGTTTGGATGTACAAGTACCCGTCCACGTCCACTCTGTGTTTTGATAGATGTATTTCTATTTGTACTCATCTGATGAGTTAAGCCTTTTTCAACTGATTTTTATAGTTTTTTCTCATGTTGTTACACCACTGTCTCAGATTAGGGGAGGGTTGGCGCCTTCAAACTAGTTTAACCCCGCTACATTCTGTATGTGCCTGTCCTAAGTCAGGAGCCTGTTATTCAGTGGTTGTCGTTTGTTGCTGTGTAATATATTTGTTTTTTCGTTCATTATTTTGTACATAAATTAAGCCGCTAGTTTTCTCGTTTGAATTGTTTTATATTTGTCATTTCGGGGCCTTTTATATCTGACTATGCGGTATGGGCTTTGCTCATTGTTGAAGGCCGTACGGTGACCTATAGTTGTTAATTTCTGTGTCATTTGGTCTCTTGTGGAGAGTTGTCTCATTTGCAATCATACCACATCTTCTTTTTTATATTGATGTTTATACTTTATAAAACATCTTTATTTTGTGATCATCTTTAATATGAAATAAAAATCATATAGCTTTAACAATAACTAACGTCATTCATTCCTGGATCGTCCAAACTATTGGGAATACAAGAATGTCAGCATTTCTGAAAAAGAAAATATTAAATGTGAGATAGAAGTTATTTAAAATCTCTCTATTCCCTCTCTCTGAACAAAAAATCTCAGAAATAGTACAATAGACATGCATAGGTATTAATATATGTATTTATATAATTTTTTTTCGCGGTCGGAGACTTTATGTGGGTATCATTTGTCAGGACTTGTTGGAAAGTGTTGTTGAATAATAAATCAGATGTATAAATAGATACTCCATATTTACCTGTATGTTAAGTGTACCTTTTTCCGAAGTTTGTCGACTTGATACATTTTGTATTAACATTCTTTTAAGCGTCACATGGAAGGGGTTCATTTTTGTATGAATTTCATGTGTAACACACTTTTTTTACCTTAAAAAATTTCCCCCTTTTCAAATGATAATAATGATAAAAGGAGATAGTGGATAAATATCACTGAGACAGCAAACAAACGACACAAGTCAATAGGTCAACGGTCTTCATCAATAGACAAGTGTCTATACAAAATGTTGAATTTTCATGCAATCCGAATTTAATACAAAAGTATTTATTGTATAGGAGATAAGATTTGATACTAAGGAAGATAACCAATACCAAAAAAACTTAAATTCCACAACTTTTTCTGTGTCATACATCGATGAATTACCTTTTTTGCTTAACTCGCCATCATCATTGGTATCACATAGTCGAACAGTCTCTCTCGCCTTCTCTATTGGTGTCGAACCGTCTTTCGGTTTTGTAACTTGAACCAATTCTTGAGCTGATAAACGACCATTCCTATTATCATCAGCCATTAAAAACACCAAGTTGAGTGTATTTTCGTAACTTCTTCTCGAGAGGAGCTGTAACAATAATACAAATACAAATATGGGCATTTTCAATTATATGAAGAACACATAAAAGTTTAAGAAGAAAAGGTAAACATCAATTTTGAAAACCTTAGTGTGGATTTATTCTGGAAAGATTTAGGCAAAAAATTATTTTTGCTTTTGTCAATACGTGTTGTATTTCTTGGCAGATTTGGGCAGTTGAAAAGACAATTTCCTATATGCTTAATGTAAACCCATTTGCAGCCAAAGATGGTCGAATCCAAAGAAACACACTTTGTAGGTTCGTACTTGAAGAATTAATTCACCAGAAATATTAAAATTTGATATAAATTTTCGATAGTCTCTAATATCAAAATAAAGGCATAAACCCCCTTTCTACCACGTTCCCTTTATTGTTGTAGTATCGGTCAGTCGATTAGCGTAAGATCCCTGGTTAATGGCCATAAAAGGCATCAACCCCCTTTCTACCAAGTTCCCTTTATTGTTGTAGTATCGGTCAGTCGATTAGCGTAAGATCCCTGGTTAATGGCCATAAAAGCGGAAAGCATTACCATTAGAATTCTAGGAAACTGCATCCCATTAGGACTCAGTGTCTTAAAATTGCTGGTTTAAAAGTTCTCAAGAAGTATATTTTTTCCGAATAACACTTCATTAATTTAGCGCCCAAACCCATTTAATGATATCCGAGAACACCACTCGTGTTTAAGTTCGCACGAGTGTTCATCGCAGATGCTTTTTCTAATAATTTGTGACTCATTGCTGCATTTTTCTTTAATTTTCTGGACGATTGGTCTACTTCGTATCCTTGAAGGCCTCCTAGCGATTATATGTATTTTGTTCAATCGGCACCGCTTATCTAATGATCAACCTTTTGTTTTTGGTATCTGTTAGTTTTCGTTATGTCACTTACCGATTTGCTGGTTTTCTGTGTAATACTTACCGATATGTTCGTTTTCAGAATGTTACCTATCGATATGTTCGTTTTCAGAATGTTACCTACTGATCTGTGAGTTTTCAGTTTATTACTTATCGATCTGTTAGCAGTATGTAACTGATCGATCGCTTGTTTTTGGTGTGTTACTTACCGATCTGTTAGTTTTCGATTTGTTACTGATTATTCTGGTAGTTTTCAGTATGTAACTGATCGATGGCTTTTTTTTGGGGGTGCTACTTACCAATCTGTTAGTTTTCTGTTTGTTACTGATTTATTTGTTAGATTTCGGTATGCTACTGATCGGTCGTGTTTTCTGTATGCTACTTACCGATCTTTTATTTTCCGGTACGTTCCCCAAAATATCTTCCAGTAGGCAGTGTCCTACTATCACAAGTGTCGTCAAAACTAAAAGTGTTTTCATCTTCTGAAAATACAAGTTGGAAAAATGTAGATTGGGAGGGAATCCTTATTAAAGCTATTGGACTTGAAGTGTTCATAAGGGAGGTAATCCTTATTAGAGATATTGGGGCTTGGCGTGTTCATAAGGGAGGTAATCCATATTAGAGATATTGGGGGCTTGGAGAGTTCCTATGAACATTATGTTTTTGTTGACGGAATTATCATAAGGTGCATTGTATATAATTCTTAACAAGAGACAGGTCTGCATTTTCAAGCTTGTATTTGACTTACAAGCTGGAAGACGGGGTTTTATTTCGGTAAACTATTCCATGCACTGTATGGAAGTTATATACATTTGTTCAATGGTTACGTTATCTATACCCATATACTTAATATAAATTAAAATTGACGGGGGTTTCTGTCAATAAGATATGTTCCTTATGTCGTATTTACAATCCACTTCCTTTTTCACCACGAATGTGACCTACCGAATTAGACTATTTACCGGATTTGTAATAACATCGGCAACACGACGGGTGGAGCAGGATCTGCTTACCCTTCTGGAGCACCTGAGATCAACCTCAGTTTTTGGTGGGGTTCGTGTTGCTTAGTCTTTAGTTTTCTATCTTGTGTACTATTATTTGTCTGTTTGTCTTTTTATTTTTTAGCCATGGCGTTGTCAGTTTATTTTCGATCTATGAGTTTGGCTGTCCCTCTGGCATCTTTCGCCCCTCTTTTAAGACAGCTACCTAACATTGAAAATAACCAAAATACTTCTAGAGGACACAATACAGTCTCAAATAATAGACAGGTGTCTATCTATAAGAGTCTTTAGAATTTGTGAATTAATTAAAGTGAAACAATTTAAAATCTTCCATCAACACCGTATTCTGCCAAAGGTCGGCGGTTCTTTCTGGGTACTATGAGTTCATCGTTTTGTAGCAGTGGAGGATTTTACTATAATGTTGAAAGGTAAATCAACACTTGGTCAAAATCGGTTGCCTAACAGAGTGGCAATAAAAATAAATTGAAAGACAAGCATCATGTAGTCAAAATCGGCTAGATAACAGAATGGCAATTTAAAAAAATGTTATCCGGTATTGGCAATTAAAACAAATTACCATTATCGGTAATTAAATTTTTTAACCCGTGTTTATATTAAAAAAAAAGTTTACATGTATTTTTTTTTTACTTTTGAACAGGTCAACGGCTAATTATAAGTGGAAGTAACATTTCCTACTTACCCGTTCAGCAATGTGAGTTCCATAATCTATAACCATAAAAACCACAACATCACAGATGCATGGATGTGTTTTGCCGGTTATATGACAATATAATGGCTTTTTTTTTAGCATGTGACCAAATTATTGATAACTAAAGATAGCTCAAAATTGAAATGTTAATAAATTTCGAAATATTTTGAGTATGTTTAGCGTCCATCAGTGTAAGATGTTGATTTTACAAGACCATGTAAAATTTTCAATATTGTTTTGAAATTGTCTCCAATAGTTTATGAAGACAATTTCAATATTATTGGAATGTGTAAAATTATTGAACGATGTTCTGAAATACATATTATTTGGACTCTTTCATATTCAAATACTAATAAAATTGAGAATGGAAATGAGGAATGTGTCAAAGAGACAACGACCCGACCATAGAGCAGACAACAGTTGGTTTAAACAGCTGTCTGAATTATACACTTTGAGTATGATATTTCTTATTAATGAAATTTGGTCCTACATGTTTCCTTTTTGAACCATCGACTGTCACAGAATAAACTTGTGCTTTAAGAATAGGTTTCAGCGCTGGTTTGATGATAGGAAATTAAGCGATTCTTATTAAAGCAACTGTTATTGAAAGTATATAAGAATTTTTAATCAGGAAGAACAGACAATAGCATGATCACGTAATACAAAGGTAACTAAACAAAAATATGAACTTACGATCCAAAACTATTTTACTATTTTAACTAAATCTTATCTTAAGTTCTATTAATAGAATGTTCTTGTTTCGTAGAATCATCATTGGAGTTCTACCGACATTGACAATAAACAGTGAATTATTTAACCCTCATATGATTCTAAAGTTGACTAAAACAGCCAAATATGTGTCAGTTACTGACAACGGTGTACGAAGGTACATGGTGTCAGTTTTAATATTTGTTTTATTTCATTTTTTAAAGAAAATGAAAACGAAAATTATGGCAATCAAAGCTTACATTTATATGATAAAAATGAAAGAGTAAATACCTTGTACGAATTTTCCACTCTCTGTTGATCTTTGATGTTAGTATGTTACTTTGCCTCTTTTATTAAGAACAATAACCACCACAAGTTTATATACAGTTAAAACAGCGGAGGATGATGTAGGTGGACTGTCATTATTTTCAATAATTGGAAAATACTTTTTTTGCAAAATGTCATTATTCCAAAATTTGAAAATTAATGTTATAATTTGTGACATTAGCCCAAATATAAAGGTTGGTGATTTCATCACAAATTGCAAGCATTAAATTTTTTGATGAGCAATTGCTTGACATTATTGTACAAAGGTTGACATGGTTTAGAGGAGACTTTGCTATTCAAAATTTGAAAATAAAAAAAAATGCATGGCTGTAAGAAGAAACTGCAGTAAACTAATGCCAGAGTATTCAATGCCGAGATCGTATACGTGTATAACGATGAAAAAAGAACCAATATCTTGAAATTTAAATCCAGTCACTTGAAATACGCCTCTCCCCCCAAAACACCCATTATTTCATTATAAACATGTACCTCTTAAAGCAATAAAAGCATGGTTGACAAAAGGATTATTATTCAAGAATCAATTATCATACGCATGATCAT